TTGGATACTGTCATGCACATTCCAATACCTTGAACAATACTTGTTCTGGGGCTCTGTTTCCTTAAATTACCTTCCTTTCTACAAGTACTGGTTCCCAAAAATTCTCTGTGATGCTCCCAGAGGTGGACAGAGCCAGCCTGAGACTCAGTGCTGCACTTCCCCCTCATCAACCTCATCAAGCAGCCCTTACTCTGGGCCTCCTCCTCCTGCCTGCCCACAGAGCTATGGAAGCCCAATAATGTGAAGAAGAGTAAGGAACGAGGACATGTGGATGTGCAGTGCAGTGGGAGGAGCTAGGACATTGCACGGACAAAACAGTCACTGAGTGTCTCTAACAAGGGAGTTGAAATGGTCTTCAATTGTAGGACCTAAATAGGTGAATCTAGGAAGGAGAAGGACTCTTACCAGACATCCTAGCAGTGAATATGCTATGGTCAAGAGCATAACAGAAAACACTTAATCCGGGGTAGAGCTAAAGCAAGGAGACATGGGAGAAAACACAGCCAGGGCCAGGTTGTGGGGGGGCATTAAGAGAGTGCTCCTGGAGAACAAACTTTACTGTTGCACTATGAGGAGTAACCAACAATATCTGGGGCTGAGAAGTGATGGTGTACAACATGACATTTCTAGTTATAAACTATGGAACAGGCAGCATGGGGCATATGGTAGCCAAGGACACTTACAGGTAGCAGGTCCATCCCATCAGTAATTTTAGAATAGTATAGAGGAGAGTCAGGACTGAAATGATAGCAAAGAAAAAAAAGCAAGGACTGGGGTACAAGAAACAGAAAGATGATTCAGTAGGCCTGCCTCGCTGGCTTGGTGGTGGGAGAGAGGAAAAGGAGTTAAGAGAACTAACTTCTGGTGTTGCTTTTGTATTTCTCTTTATATTGGGCATTTATTACTTCTAATATTGAAACCCAAACTCTCTGCTCTCTTCGGGACTGCCCCACCTAGCATGCATGATACCCCAGTCAGCTCAGGGACAGGCACAGGATGACCTGGGCCCTGCAGTCCCTTTCTAGGGAGTTTGGAATTGAATCTCAGGGCTCGTGGTTACCCCCTGAGACACTGACAGTGGCCTTTTTCTTCTATATGAACTAGAAAATTGCAAAAGGTGCTTTGCAATAGGAGATAAAAAGAAAGGAGAAGTGAAAAAGCAAAGAAGAGAGACGGAGTATAAAGGCCAGGTCTGGGTTCTCTGCGACACTTAAATCTCTGCTTTCAAGTATCCCTTGAGCCAAATGGATCCCTCCTCTTGAAATGCATAGGGTGTCACTGTAATGCAGAAATACATTCACTCTGATTAAGCTGCCCTGGCTGGGTTATTGTTACTTGCAGCCAAAATAGTGCAAACTGATATATTCTTCAGCATGAACTCTTCATCTTCAGACAACTGGTCTCTGGCTCCTCTCTGAACAGTTCAGCATTTTCCTGACTCCTTAAATTTCTGTGCCATTTTTTCATCTGGAATGTTTTCCCTCACCTGTTTTGCTGACTCTGCCTATATAAATCCTGGCTATCTTTCCTTTCTTTCATTTGTCTTTATGTAGTACATCTTGATGAATCAATCCATGATATCTGTAAATCATAATGTTATATTTTTCTATTTGAAGTCCCTGTTTTTAGTGAACTTATTAAGAAGAGTACTTAAAATTTACATAAATAGGGTGATGGGTGATGAGGGAATATATGCTCTCATACATATAAATTTAAGCAAATCCAAGGGAACAAATGCTTTCTTGGCACTAATACCTTTGACACGAAGACAAGTCTGTAAAGATACCAGTGGACCATTTAACCAAAGTGGACACTTAACGTTAGAAAAGTACATTATTTAGGAGATGGAAGAAGAAAGTTCTCTATATAAGTGATGCATACAGTGTTCCTGCATAAGTGCTATAAATTCAATTTGTAGCTCTCTAGAGTTGGTTCTGTGGCTAGTAAGACACAGACCTGGAATCTGTCAGTGCTGTCCAATTCCAGCTCCAGGGTTTTCTCTATTGTGCTAAAGTCTGTCACAGGAAAAGAAAAATACATATATCAAAAATTTTTTTGAGAGAAAAATATTCAATTTTATCTCTTTAAATAATTTTTAAACTATATTTTAGAAATAACTTATTAAAAATAGTAATAGACTCTTAAGAATGATCTTGAGCCTAATGCTCAGCATAGGCAAAACAATTATTGCTCTCTTTTGAAACAACTGAAAAAAAAGCCTTCAAAAAGGCCCCTCTTTGCCTTTAGAAAAAAGAAAAGCAATATGCTATCCTGTAAAATCTTGCATAAATCTGGAATACAATGGAGTCTCCTTTCCCTTCACCAACAGTAGCCTTTGTTCTGGTGACTTACAATGCCTCAGGAGGGGAGAAACCAAAATTGCCTCATGAAAGCAGTAAGAAAATGTCTAGCAAGAGGATGGACATTTAATGAGCAGGATAATGTGCCAAGAAACAGCTAATGTCTCTTTCTGCCCATTCAAATGAATATTCCTAAAACCTTAAACATTCACACCATAAGATTACATGAGTAACACTGGTTAGCACGATGCTATTGTATAAAAAATATCTGTTGCTAAGCAGAGCAGAAATACTGTTTACATGAAAATGGAATGATCTCTGGTGAATACTGAAAGTGATATTTTCCATAACCAGAAAAAGCATTTTTACATCACTCCATTTCCACTGCTATAAAGCCTTGAGTTGCACTAACAAGTGCTTTTCCCTGCGTGGTTGGCTTTATATCATTGTCATCTCTGCAGGTTTACAAAATGGCATGGTTTTGTTTTTGTTTTTGGTTTTGTCTATTGTTTTTATTCCCCCGTCAGCCTTGGCAGGAAATACCACCACACCTCACTACTTTTACGGACCCACCTTACCATGTTCATAAAATGAATTTTTGGTGTCCCTCTCATAAAAGCACACTTGGATTTTCCTCCCAGTAAAACTGCTGAAAATACATCAGAGGAGGCCCTATGAATGAGGGCTTTATGGGGCCTGCCACTTATAGGGTTTGTTTTACTGAGAACAGAGCATGAAGCAGTTTTAATGAGAAGAGGGAAAAACTGAGACACTTACCTGCATCACAATAAGGAGGTCAAAGACCAAGATGAAAGAAGCAAGAAAAGCCCTGGAAACCTCATCACTGGGCAAAAATCCCCGATTCAGCTTGTCCCAGCTGATCCAATCAGTTGTAATGACAAGTACGACCACAGAAGTCAGAGTAAAAAGAACTGTCCTGCAAGGAGAGAGACAATCATCATATTAGAAAAATACAGATACCGAAGAGCGCACAGTACCTGTGCTTGCATTATCTACGAAATACCTACAGTAAGGCATACTCATCAAAATAAAGACGAAAAAAGAAATGACCTTGGTTAGTGGAGTTCTCCCATGAGAACACTGGCATGGAGCTCTCATTACAGTGTAAAGTCCTCAGCTGAGGGAGCAGGCAGGCATACACAAAAGCCTAAGATAGTTGTTGAAAAGGTAAGGAAGACCTTGGATTCTAATATCCTCTTCAGAAGATGGGGGTAGTTGGAAAGGTTTCATGATTTTCCCCATGGTCCGATGAGCTCATTACAGGAAGAGCTTCTAAATCCTAGCTTCTTCTCCTCATGGGCACATACAATGAACACTTGTGGCCTATGGATCTCTTTTCATGCTCTGTCATCCATTCCTTGCTTAGTGTTCCCATGAAATCTTGTATAATTATTCACAGATTTACTTCAACAAGTATTTGTTGAACTTAAAACTTTTTATGTATTTAAAATATCATCAAATTAGACTTTAATACAAACATTCAAAATAGATCTGAAATGCAGGTAGTGAAAATTTAATCAACCAGCCTGGAGTGGTGGGCATGCCTGTAATCTCATCACCCGAGAGGCTGAGGCAGGAAGATGGCTGAGAGGTCAAGGTCAGCCTCGGCTACATAACGAGCTCAAGGACGGTCTGAAATACACAGTAAGATTTTGTCTCAGAAAGAAAGAAAAAGAAAGAAAGAAAGAAAGAAAGAAAGAAAGAAAGAAAGAAAGAAAAGAAAGAAAATTTAATCAACCAGAAAATTTTCCAGAAGGTAGGTTAGCCTTTGTTGTCAGGACTATATTGTTACCTGGATTATTTTTTTAATTTAAAAAGGAAATAATAATTATTTTGAAATAAATTCCATAAGAAAACACTCATTAAAAGAAAAAGTAAATAAAGAAAACAAAGAAAAACATGGAGATGAATTAAAACTGTAGAATACCCACTATTTATGGAAATTAGCACATGATTTTTCCTCTTTGTCTTATAAAAACTGACATCACAAAAATAATTTCAATTTTCCAAGAAGTTTCCTTTTCAAATGTACAATGTACAAATTTTGAAACAAAAATTTTGGTATTTCATTTTTAAAATTTATTATTTGTATAACATTATACTTTGACATAATTAAAGTATTTTTCCCTTATTAACAAAAAAGATATATTAATTTAAAAAAGAATTTAACTGCAAACCAAAAAATTCCACAATGTCTTCTGCTATGCTATTGTTTAGAATACTTCTGGTCACAAATATTCAAATGGGTTAAATGAATTTGGGAACAATTCAAAATAATTATCATAATCAAACAGAAATACTGAATATCATATAATCAAAAGTAAGGGTAGTGGAGTTTTAAATAAGTGTTCTATAGAAAAAGTTAATTTACTTTTTTGAGTTTAAGAAAATTTAAGCAAATCTGAATGAAGTTATCCAATTTTTTTCAGCTTTAATTGAGTTTATTGGTACATTTTAGGGACACAGTACAGTTACATTCATTGTTGGGATCTTGTACCTCTACATGACAGGTCTTGGTTTTCATTTTTTCCCCTTGTCCCTGCCCTCCCTTCACCCCCTCCTCCCCTTCCCATCTACAAGCACTTCATTTCCATCTTTTCTTTATCTCACATTTTTTTCTTTTCCATTATTACCCTTCCCCTATCCATCCCACCTTCCTACCTCTTTAGCCCCTTTCTTCCCATTTCACCATGTCAGTAATCTTATTAGGATCTTATGTATTATTGCAGTTTATTCACACCAGAGAAACTATTCGGTATTTACACATGTGTGACTTATTTATTTCACTTAGGAGTATATCTTCAATATATATCCATTTTCCTATGAATGAACCTATTTTCTCATTCTTTATGGCTGAGTAATATTCCATTTTATAGAAAATCCACATCTTCTTTATCCAGTTTCCAACTGAGGGACAAATGGGCTATTTCCAAGTTTTAGCTATTACAAACTGTGCCACTATAAACACGGGTGCACATACATCACTGTGATATGATTCTTTTAGTTCTTTTGGAAAGATACCCAGCAGAGAGATGGCTGTGGGTCAAATGGAATCTCCAGTCCAAGCTCTTTCAGGTATCCCCATATTGATTTCTGGCTGTGGGTCAAATGGAATCTCCAGTCCAAGCTCTTTCAGGTATCCCCATATTGATTTCCACAGTGGTTGCACCAGTCTGCACTCCCACCAACAATGGCAAAGGGTTCCTTTCTCCCCAAGACCCCGCCAATATTTGTTATTGTGTGATTTGATAGCAGCCTTTTTTTTGTGGGGTGAGGTGGAATCTCAGTGTTGTTTACATCTGCATCGCTATAATGACCAGTGATGTGGAACATTTTTTCATATATTTACTTGCTGCTTTTACTTCTTTGTCTGAGAAATGTCTGTTCATTTCAGATGCCCATTTTTTAATTGGGTCATTATATTTGGGTGGCTGATTGTTTTGAGTTCTTTATATATTCTAGATAATAGTCCTTTGTCTGAGGAGTAGCTGGTAAAAATTTTTTCCCACACTGTAGGTTGTCTCTTAGATCTGCTGATGGTTTCTTTTGCAGTACAGAAGCTTTTTAATAAGATGAGATCCCAGTTGTTGATTCTTTCTGCTAGTTCCCATACTACTGAGGATTTGTTCATAAAGTGTTTTCCTATGCCAATGTCTTCCAGAGTTCTGCCTAACTTACCTTCCATCAAGTTTAATGTTTCTGTTTTAACATTTAGATCTTTCATCCACTTGGATTTTAATTTAGTGCATTGTGAAACAAAAGGGTGCAGTTTTAATCTGTGGCAGGTTGAAATCCAGTTTTTTAACACCATTTATTAAAGAGGCTATGTTTCATCCACTGAGGATGGTCAGCTCCTTTGTCAAAAATGAGGTAGCTGAGTACATCTGGGTTTGTTTTTGTGTCTTCCAGTCTGTTCCACTGATCCTCAGGCCTGTTTCTTTGCCAGTACCATGCTGTTTTATCACAGTGGCTTTGTAGTATAGTTTCAAATTGGGAATTGTTATACCTGCTGCCATGTGTCTGTTACCTAGGATGGCTTTTACTATTCTAGGTCTCTTCTGGTTTCAAATGAATTTTTGGATTCCTTTTTCTAGTTCTGTGAAATATAGTGTTGGAATTTCAATTGGCATTGCATTGAATGTATATAGCATTTTTGGTAGTATGGCCATTTTCACTATGTTGATTCTTCCTACACAGGAGTGGTGGGGGATATCTTTCCACTTTTTATTATCCTCTTCAATTTCTTTTTTCAGAGTGCTATACTTTTCAGTATAGAGATCTTTTGCTTCTTTTGTTAGATTGTTTCCTAGATACTTCATTTTTTGAATGCTACTGTAAAAGGAATTTTCCCCCTTATTTCTCTCTCAGTGAGTCTGTTATGTATGTATAAGAAGGCCACTGAGTTTGGGGTGTTTGCCTTGTATCCAGCTACTCTATTGAATCTGTCAATTAAGTCTAGAAGTCTTTTGGTGGAGTTTTTTGGATCTTCAATGTAGAGTATCATATCATCAGCAAATAATGACAGTTGAACTTCTTCCTTTCCTATCTTTATTGTTTTAATTTCTTTCTCTTGTCTAATTGCTGTGGCTAATGTTTCCAGAACTATATCGAAGAGGAGTGGTGATAGTGGGCATCCTTGTCTTGTTCCTGATTTTAATGTGAAGGTTTTAAGTTTTTGGCCATTTAATATGATGTTGGCTGTTGATTTTTCATAGATAGCCTTTATTAAATTGAGGTACAGACCATCTATTCCAATTTTTTGCAGGGTTTTTATCATGAATGGGTGTTGAATTTTATCAAATGCTTTTTCTGCATCTATTGAGAGGATCATGTGGCTTTTGTCTTTGACTTTGTTAATATAATGTATTACATTTATTGATTTACGTACATTGAACCATCCTTGCATCCCTGGAATAAATCCGACTTGGTCAGGATGTATGATCTTCTTGATAATCCTCTGTATTCTATTTGCTAGTATCTTATTAAGGATTTTTCCATCTATATTCATTAAGGAGATTGGCCTGTAGTTCTCTTTTTTAGTTGCATCTTTCCCTGGTTTGGGAATCAAAGTGATACTTGCTTCCAGGAATGAATTTGGAAGTATAGCGTCCCTTTCAATTTCATTGAAAAGTTTGAAGAGTATTAGCAGTAGTTCTTCTCTAAATGTCTTGCAAAATTCAGCAGTGAATCCATCAGGGCCTGGGCTATTCTTTGTTGGTAAATTTTCAATACCAATGACTGTAATTGGGGTGTTTAAGATGTTTTTATCTTCTTTGTTCAACTTTGCTAATTCATAAGTATCTAAAAATCTGTCCATTTCTTCTGTGTTTTCCATTTTATTGGAGTACAGGTTCTCAAAGTAGGTATTAATGATCCTCTGGATTTCTGTTGGATCTATTGTGACTTTGAATTTTTCATTCCTGGTTGCATGGATCTGAGCCTTTTCTTTTCTTTTTTGGTAAGATTAGCTAAGGGTTTGTCTATTTTATTTATTCTTTCAAAAAAAACAGCTCTTTGTTTCATTTATTTTTTTTGTATCATTTTCTTAGTTTCCATTGCATTGATTTCTGCTCTAATCTTTATAATTTCCTCTCGTGTTCAAGCTTTGGGTTTTTCTTGCTCTTGTTTTTCCAGGAGTCTAAGATTCATCATTAGGTTGTTTACTTGAGCCCGCTCTGTTTTCCTAGTGTGGGCATTCAATGTTTTGAATTTTCCCTGTAGAACTGCTTTCATTGTGTCCCATACATTCCTATATGTTGTATTGGCATTTTCATTTATTTAAAAACTGTCTAATTTCTTCTTTAATTTCCTCTGTAAACCATTGATTGTTTAGGAGAGTGTTGTTCAGTTTCCATGTGATTGTGAAGTGCCTACAGTTTCTTGTGCTAATGATCTCCAGCTTGATTGCACTATGAT